TGTTCAGGGGCAAATCAGAGTTTAATGTATTGATAAGGATCCTAAGTAATACTGCTGGACTCCACAGGGACACCCTTGGGTTAGGGAGAACAAAATTAAGTGGCATCTACTGAAATTGTTCTTTCAAAGATCCCTGTACTTGCTTTTGTGCCTCATGAGCCCAAATCGAGACAGATTTGCTTTCTACTTTACATTATGCTCATAGGTGTTGAATTCAGGTGGCCTGGCTGCATCCAAAAAGATAAATGAACACCCACTGCAATGGGTATTCCATGTCCAGAAAGTTTATCTATTAAGGTTGAGGGAGGCATGAGTAACAACAGTATTTTGAAAAAAACGAATTTTCTGTGGTTGTCTTAGGAACAGTGCATTTGTTGACTGTTACGGCAGAGGTGAGATGGTGTTGCTGATGCCTGATGCAGAGGGGCTTTCATGGTGTTACTCTGGCGTGTTCAGAAGTGACTTTTGCAGGGCGTGGTGACTCGGCACCTGCAGAGCCTCTCCTTGCTCCTGAGCACAGACCACACCGCAGCTCCTGGAGGCACTAGTGAAAACTGGGTGTTTGCAAGACATAAGTGACACTTCCCTTTGGGAGTGGATGAGGGAGAGCAGGATGGTTTTTATTGATAGTTGCCATCATGCTGAATGACATTTGAAAATGAGAAGCTGAAAACCCCTTTAGCTTCTGATTTGTGTCATATTTATCCTTCAAGGCAGGCAATGACAAGCTGTTGAGAGATATTAACCCGGCTGCTAATGCCCACAGAGGAGCACAAACGTAAGCATTAATCTTGTTTTGTGGCTTTTGTCAGTGTTGCATAAAGGTACGTGCATTGTAATTGATCTCCAAAACAGAAAGGAAATGTTAATATGTAGCTAGTAGCAGAACAGTCAAAATAAAAGACCCATGGGATAATAGAAAATTCTTTGTTCACCTGGGGAAAGATTTACAACTTCCTCCGCCAGTTGAGAACACAACATTATTGTATTGTCAAATTGTAGTAATTTTTGCAGTGATGCATAAGAAATCAACTGCAAATCACCGGATAGCCTGACAAATTCATTTGCTCCCAGATGCACTAAATGACTTGGAATGCTTTTAGACACCCTGAGTATAAAATTGCAGTTCTCAAGGCTCCTATTTAGCTCCCCTCTAATGCCAGCAGTGAGTCAAAGTAGTAAGTGCCCTTTTGTTGATATTCTTGCTGCTTCTCACATGCTCAGAAGTGCCTTATCCTCGATAGAACCAAGTCTCTATCTCACATCCAAACCCCATTACTATCCACAAATGAGGTATCTGTCTGCTTCTATGGCTCTTGGGCTTGTTCCAGTTAATTTTCTCTGGCGTGGGTTGTGTGCTGCACAAGAGCTGGCAACAAGAGGCATTATTTTTCAGACCACAGCTTCCATGGATGACACTGTCCCCAGACTGGCAATATCTGCTGTGCAGCCAGCAAGTTGGTGGTCACAGCATGTCTCCAGGCTGGGAAGGTCCTCAGCCCTGTGCCTCCTCTGTCTGGAGCATTAAGGCTGCTCTCTACAGCCAAAAGGATTGAGAAGAGTTGTGCTCAGTGAATCTCTCCATCTGTCTAAGCCTCTGTAACACAGTGAAACAAAAGAAAAAACAATCTGAGATATGACATTTAAACATTAGTGTGTATGTATCATCCTGGGTCAGACCCTTTATTGGTAGAGTCTGATGTAACTCCTTTGATTTCAGCACACTGAAAAACAATTTAGAGCAGTTTGGGATGGCGGTTTGGGCCACAAAGTTTATCACAGTAATGTAATCCCAGATATCCCCTTTGCTTGTGTTGTCTAGGCTGAGAAAGAGATGATGATTCATAGTGAGTTTGTAGGTGAGGGAGCTATAAGATAGCACAGAGTAAATGTCAGTAAATCAGAAAACATGGGTGGCCAAATGGGAGTGTAAATGGGAATTCTGTACTTGCTCTCACAGCACATTTGGTGGTAAGGCTTTTATTCATTTCAAAACAGTAGTGCAGGCGTCCTGTATTTTATGTGAAATCAAACTAACTATAAACAGAAGGGCAGTGCAAAATCCATAGCTGTGCCTCTGTAGGACTTCACATGGATGGACAAATATTCCCTAGCAAAGGCTCAGGGCCATAACGAACAAACCTTGCTTTCCAAGAGGTGATATCCACCCTCCCTCAATCAGGGTGATAGATTCACTCAGTAACATCTCTGACATTTACTGTCTTAGACTCCACATCTCTGCCTCTGTGACCACGTCTGCATGATGTGGTAGCAACGTCATATTAATGCAGCTCTCAAGTCCAAACAGAGCCTGATGTCTTCTTTTGTAAAAGCAGGTTATAATTTTTGTTGCCTACCCCTTAATTTTCAACCTATGAACATTTCCCCATTAATTCTGTTGTATCAGCTATTATACAGATTAGCTGATTTGCACGCTCTCCCAAGCTGAACTGAAAAGATTCAAGTCTGCAGGTCACATTTATTGGCAGAAGCAATACTCCCAAGGTACCTGTTTGCTTAATTTTTCATCTTTAAATAGACAGCAGTGCCAAAAAATTAAACACTTGTCTAAGAGGGAGAGAGGACTCAGTAAAGGAACAGACGAAGTAGCAGTGTTTCAAAACAGTTTCTCATGTATTGATTTTCAACTGTTGGAGAGAAATACTGTGATATTTTTGATTATGTTTTGTGAAGAAATGTATATTATTTGTCAAACAAATCTCTACTTGGCTTTTGTGGTAATCCAAACCCTCGGCTTCCAGTGTCTGAGAACTAATTATTTCCAAGAGTTTTAGTTTTCCACTAAACAACAATCTTGGTAGAAAAGAAAAAGGCAGTTTCTAGTTATGGGAAGCAGCACTGAGTGAAGTCTGAACCTGAAGAGATTCCAGCTTGGCCCTGTGCCTTCTGATCTTGGGTCTTGACTTTCTTTGCCCCAAATTCCTCATCTGCCTCTGTGTCAGGAACCAGCAGGAGGGGTAACATGAAGACAAAGGGACGATCGCACCTGGGCATGACCAAGGTGCAAGAGAAGCAAAACGCAAGTAGGATGGGAATAGAAGTTTGAGAAGAAATACAGTAAAATTCTTTGTCATGTTTTCCTAAGAATGGGGGAATTTACATAATGGGGGACTCTTACTGGCTGCCATCTCACTGTGATGATGTTATTCCTCAGCAGTAACAGGATGGCCACTGATGAAAAGCAACTGTTGCCTAAAAATCAGGGAAAAAAAAAACCTCTCCAGGCTAATTTAGTAGAGATGAGATATAGAGCGGGTCTTTAATGAAGGTCTTCTAGCGCAAGGAGTACAGAAAGGCACGCACCTCTGTCCAGGGGTTCCACAATCTGTGGTCTGATCTGAGAACTACCCACCTTCAGATCTACCACCCTGGCACACCTCCCTAGAAATTGAGTTGAAGGTCCTAAGACCCCTTTCTTCCTCATCTTCCTCTTCTTCACAGCACGTGCTGTCTTTGGAGCTTCTCCAAGGTGCCGGGCTTGAAGGTTGCTTTGACTACAATGGTAACTTGTTGTTCAAGGCTGGGGTGTGTATGTTCTTAAACAGAATGTGTTTACTATAGTCCTGCCTTGAAAGGTACCTAAACAAGCCTAAAGGATTTAGAAAATTCAACATGAAATAGGGGAATAGGGTTTGATGAGTGTTAACTACTATTCTAAAAGTGTGACAGACTATACAGTTACATTAAAATCTACAAAAAGCTAAAAATCCTAAAAGTTCAAAGGCCTCACAACTACCACTTTAGGTAGGTTATGCTGTTGGAACAGTTGACCTTGCCCTGGGGGTAGACATGAGCATTAGCATCTCAGACACAATTATTTGAGTATCTGGAAGAGAAATTTGTCAGAAAAACCTTCTTCAGATTTGCTGAGAAAACTTTATTGAAGAGGTCTTCATGGCATGACAGATCTCCTGTCATGGCATGAAGGAAAAGAGAATGATTTGTCTCACCTAAATCCTTTTGAAATCCTAGCAAAAATGCTAGTGGGAGGAAAGGCTGCTTAGCACAAGTTTACCTAACCAAAATAAGACATTTTTTTAATGCAAATTGCAGATGTTCCTGCAATGTGATTCCAATTAGTTCAGCTAACTTTCTAACTAATTGAAGGCATAGTCACCTCTGAAATGTGCAAGTCAATTAGAAGACAACCAACTCTCAATTGCTCTAACATCTAGAACTTTAGTGAAAAAACCCAGCACAAATCCTGTGTCAGAAGTGTACAGAGTGGGTAAATAGTCTCTGATATGCTGAAGGAAAATTACTCTGATATTTTCATCAAAATATTATGAAACCATCACTGAGTGGAAAATTTTGTGATACATGTGATACATGAATTTAAAGACATTTTCCTTTAGAAGGAAGAAATGCTGTTCATTGTCTTGCAGTGTTCAAATGGATCTTCTTTATAAGTCAACATTAAGATGCTGTGAGTGCATGTTTTGTCACTGAATTACAGACCTGTTTTCTGATAAAAGGAGAGCACTGTAGGAAAAGAAATAAGTGCCAGTTAGCTCATGCTGAGCTTGTACACTGGTTTTCTTGTATTTGATAGAAGCTAAAATAAAGCAATGAATCCCAAAATGTGTTCACGTAAAATGCCACTGGTGTTCAGCTGACTGGGGTTGCTCTTTTTGGTTCTGATGAAATCCAGAGGAAATGATACATGTGTGTATACCAGACTTTTTGTAGATAAAAGAGTATGTCGGACTCTGCATGAAAAAGATTCTTGGATTGTAACAGTGACGATAGCCATGATTCCCATGACTTTACTATGGCCAGGTTTTTACTCTTGGGCTCTTTGTATGGCAAACAATCCAGGAAACTTTATTTGTTTTTACTGTCAGACAAATAAGGTGCATCGAGATATCATTGTAACCAAAACGACAACATTTAGAAAAATCAGTACTAGTTACTGCTTGTATTACTAACAGAATGTGAATTAACTTTTACTTGACCTTTTGTGCAATATTTCTCCCCAGATCTGCCATTGGGAAGCTGGGAGTGGACGTATTCGAGGCCGTGTACAGCTATCTCAGGCAAGCGAGGCAGCAGAATGCCAGCGAGGAGGAGATCAGGAGATGTTTGGAGAAACTGGTTTCTAGAGCAAGCGATTGCTTTGAGGTGGATCAGCTCCTGTACTTCGAGGAACAGCTACAGGCTTCAGAACCTCATCTGCAGCTGTAACAGGTGTGGCAGTAACAGCGCTGGAAATGGCAAGGAGCGGGGAAGGTGCTTGGCTGTCTTCTTCAGGCCTGCAGGCAAGTGCAGGAGGTATTTGAAGGAAACTGCTGAAGGTTAATGTAGTAATAAGCATGTAGGAAGGCTCCATTTGAGAATCCAGACTGCAGTGAGAAGTGGGTAAATATGGCACAGATTACAGGGACAGGAAGAACAACTGTTTGTGACTGTGAGGGGAGCATTCACCGTTACCCCTTTTTCCACCACTTAAAGCATAAGGAAAGGTGTTCTTGTGGGCTGTGGCCAGGCACTCAGAACATCACTGGCAAAGCTGCCTCTGATAGAATGATGCAGGATTAGACTCCAGCTGCTGTTGATTTCTGTTCTAACTTGTCCTTGTGACATATAAGCCTGTAGTTTTTGTGCTTTGGCAGATCTGCCCTTAAACATACATGTATCTGTATGGCCACTCAGCCCTTAATTGCCTTGTTATTACTGATTATTCAAAAGGGCTGCATTTAATCTGTGTGGCTTCTAAAGGAACTGTGGAAATACACATATGCTCACATGCACTGAGATAGGTGTGCCTGTTCATAATGGCAGAAAGATGTCTGGTCATACTCTGTACACTATCTGTATAAAGATAGACATGTGACCTGAGCTACAACTGACTTTGTTAGATAAGAATTCTCATTGTGACTTCTGAAACTGTTGGATCAAATTCATTATACACAGATGGAACAATAAATTGATTTTTCTCTTGCACGCAACCATTAATGTTTTTTCTTAGTGATTATCCTCCCTACTTCATATGCATCGCACTTCTACTGATTTCATCTGTATATCATGCTCTGATTATATACTTGATGTTTTCCTTCTACCTCTTCCTTCTTTATTCTGCATTCTGTGCTCCTTCATCCATCTGTGTAAAAGGCTAAGGGATAACAAAGTGGTACAATCTGTAAAGGAACCTCAAAGGAATTGTGGACCAAATTAATTTGAGGCATTGAGCCATTATCATAATCCTTATGTTTCCTGCTTTTCTGCTATAACTCTTAAAGGACTTGGGGACTGAATTAAATAAATTAAAAGAAATTCATAATATGAATATGACAAAACCATTTCTATTTGATCCAAGATGAGTTATTTACAGCTAGTATTGATACTGGTATTGATGGTCAATTAAGTGGTGCTACTGGCCTATCTTTATGACACGCTTTAAGAAACTCAAAGCAAAAGGCAAGTGGAGTCACCTGGATCTATTTTAGCAGCAACATAAACTGAGGAAGCAAAGGGCATGCCCAGCACTGTACTTCCAGCTCAAAGTAATAAGAGATTCTGGCATGTCTAGTTTCAGCTTTTATTTGGAGTACATGGGGTTGCAAACCAGAGGCTAAAATCTACTATGATGGTTACTGAGGTAGGGGAACATTTTTTTTAATTTCTATATGGTGATTCAGATCCCAGACAGTTTGAAGCACAAATTCTCTGTCAGGTTGCAGTCTCTTTCCTATTATTTCTTCTTGTACTTACACTCCCCATCCTTCCCAATGTTGTGTCTGTGTATCTGCTCCCATGTGTTTTGCACATAACTTTATTTAATATCATTTAAAAACAGGAGTGCTGAAGTCCAAGATATAGGAGGAATGCTTGGATGTTGCAGGGACTGTAATGTCTGAAAGCAAACAATAAGTAACACACGGTCAGAGGGAGATAATCTTCGCTCCTGTGATTACCTCTGGCAGTGATTCAAAGTGATTTATTACAAAAACTTCAAAACCAGCCTCTGTAAGCAATCAATTCCTTCTTATTAGTGATGAAGGCTTCCTCAGACTTTTTTTTTGGGCAGAATGTAAGAAAAAATACCCACAGAGGAATGGGTCAGGCTCCTTAAGGCAGTCAAGGACTAAGGAGATCATTACAGTGGAACCTTTAAAACCTGAAAAACGTGGTTTAGCCATGCAGATTGCCCTCAAGGAAACGGTTGCTTTCTGATGAGCAGTACTTTCTTTCACTTGTTGCTCAGGAAAAAGAAATCACAGTGCCTTTTACAGTTTCTTCAGTTGCTTTCTGCTCTCTGCAGGGAATGACCTTCAAGGCATGTGAGGATCCGGAGGTTACTGCTTTACTGGTTATATGCTTTAAACCGTACTTTGTTTCAGAGGCTTTTTTGCATCAATTGTGCTGCAATTAGCCAATGTAGTATACATATTAAACACAACAGGAAACTTTCTGTCTTTGAACTTTAGTAAAAGTGCAGAAATACACCCTATGGATTTGACAGAAATTCTCACATCCCTATTGCTTTAATTTGCAAAATCCCATTGCTGGTGGTCATTAAAAGAAAACTAAAAGGAAGGAGGAGGATTGTTGGTATTGTAGATCTTCAGTCATAAAAAAGCAACAGAGCTGCTGAAAGTAAATGTGAGGAAATAAATGTAAAGACATATGACTGTGGATAGATCTTCATAAAGGGTTCCATTTTACCTACATACCAAAAGCTTCACAAGCATCAAGCAACCTTGCTGCTTTCTTTATAGATTCTCTTAAAAATGCTACAAACTCTACTGCTTGATGAAGAGATATTGCAAATGACAGAAGTGAGGTGAGTAATTATTTAATGCTTTGGAGGCCTTGAACCTGGTAAAAAGGTGCTTGAACTATAAAGGGGAAACAAATCTGAGTTTTTTGATGAGTAGAACTGTCAATATCTTGTCAACACGTGGTTTAGGAGGCAGATCGATTATATTTTTCACGGCAAACAAAAGTCCTTTCTTACAGATGATTGCTCTGCCAAATATTTCCTAGAAGGCATCAGTGTTCCCTTTCTATAGGATGAAGTAGAGGTTTCCAGTGTCTGAAAATCCTGCCTGCAGGAAAGGACTGTCCTTACTCCAGGACCCAGAATTGTGACTGCTGCCTTGTGGTGACCAGCTCCAAGGTGCCCTCACAGTCAAATAAACCTGCACCCAGCACAGCCAGAGCTCACCCCTGACCACTGCTCACTCTCCAAGTCCATGCATAACCAGGATGATGGAGCATTGAGCAGATACACAGGAGAAAAAAAAGGTAGGAGTCAGCAAAGTAACCTTGTGGATAATGCAAAGACTGACCTTTATTGCAAAGACTTTGCTATAGGTCAGTTCAGATTGACCTGTAGAAGCAACTAGTGTTACCTGAAGGAATTTAGTGGGCAAGAGAAGAAAGGCTCAAACAGGAGATTCATTTGGAGAAAGCAACAATAAGCCCATAGGTGTACTTGATGTCATATTTGTTTGTAATATGTGTGCACAACACAGCATAACCTGAAAACTCTTTAGCCTGTCTCTGCTGAAAACTCTGTTTTTCATTAGAGAGAGGTCCAGCAGAAAGTTTTCTGCGTGTCATTATTTGTAGAAGCAGAAGTCTCATGAAAATACAGCTGCTGACTTCACTGATGATCGTTGCTGTTCAGGAACATGACTGCTTTGATAATAACTCTATCCATATGTGCTGGCTATATGCACATAAGAACAGCTGGTAACAGCAAAGGCAAATGTATTTATGTACAGACTGGTCAGGCACAGAGGGTGGGGAAGGGATGGAAGAGGAAGGAAAGGGCTGTAGGTTCCTTCTGCTTACACCTTCTCATATACTTAGTTACCACACCCACTCCTATTTATTTTGTCACTCCTTTATGGTTGGGGGAATGAAGGGAGAGTGAATGGTTTTCTGAAGGCCACTGAAGTATCTGAAATGAGACTATGAGTGAAATCCTAATAGGAAACCTTGACCTCACTCAAGACCAGTGGTCACACCAAGAGAAAATTTACAAAAGCTTCTGGTTCCGTACATGGGTCCAGTTTTCTTTTATCTGGATCGGGATACGGCCATCATGGCAGGAAAGCAAGTGAGTATTTACAGATAATTTGCCATGTTAGCTCTGTAGACAGATTTCAGTCTTGAGTTGTCCATAACTGGTTGACATCAGCCACCTGACTTCCGGTATTCTCACACTATGTGGTTGTTCTCTACCCCATCAGGTCAGGAAGCAAAAACCAGGTCATAGGAAAATTTCCAGCAGAAAATTCAGTAGAGAAAAACAGACCTTTAGTCATCTGGATTAACAGTACACCCCTTGGGTGAATATTTTCCATTCCACTTGATGACACCTGGCCAGGGATTCCCAATGTTTTGCAACGTGCCAGAAATGCACACGCTGTGAATATCATCCCACAGATGAAATGGGCTCAGTTTTGTTGTAATTTTTATTGATGGGTTGCTGTAATTGAAGTACAAAGGCAGTGGTGTGCAAACAATAAGAAAAAATACCCCTGAATTAAAATGGCAAATGGAAGGGGAAAAGATTACTCCTTTCTACTAATTAACTCTCCTATGTATTGATATATTTTAAGATTCAGAATCTGCAGTTTGTCTTAGGAAGCCTGGGAATGTTATACCTATGTATATGTATCTACGTAAAAAGTGAATTGCGATTCTATGATGAACTGTCAGTCTATCAATCATATCTCTCTACATCTACACATGCACACACAGGCATATATATACTTATGGGTTTGTATATATCCTTATCCACAGCATGTCAACAAACCTTCAAGAATATTTTTTCTCTCTTGATTAACAAAATATCTGCCAATTGCTCTGAAAAAATCTTACGAACAGATAAAAATGCAGAGCTGAATGGTCCTTGAGTAAAAAAAAAACCAAATGTTGTGATCAGCTACTGTACCAGGGTCTGTACAAAACAGCCCCAAGGCAATCCCAAACTCCCAGGCCTCCCAGCTGAAGTGTCCAGCAGGAAGATGACTGGATGATGGTTCAGAGAAGCAGCCTGAGCATGTGTAGCAAAGTACAACAGACAACCTACAAAGGGTAGCACTCCTCTCGATCCTTGCCTGTCACTGCACCAGGCACTCAGGTACCGGCGTAAGGCAAGGCATAAAGAATGATGGAACATTGTGGATTTCAATACACAAAACCATTATTTAATGAAATATGACTCTGTGACAGGGCACGCAAGTGTGCAGGTGATGGACTGCCGATGAGGTGATTCTGTGCCAGAGCTTTATGCCCTAGAGGTGACTGAGTGCTATGAACAAGCTGGGAATCTGTGAATTGCTCTCCTCCCTCCATTGTCAGCTGCTGACCCCTCAGAGGCTGCCTTATTGTACCATGGCAGCAGATATTCCCTTGGGCTGTGTTATTTCCTCTCAGCATCTCTAATATGAGTTCTATTTCAGTTTTTTTCATATAGAAGCCTCTTTCTGATGGAGGCTGCTCTATTGATCTGCATTTATAAAGGGTCAGCAGTGTGGGGGTAGTCTTAAATAATGCATTGGAGTTTGCTCCCTCTGCTCTCACCGAGTTCCTGGGAAATACTCTTTAGAACTGCTGTTAAGTCTTCCTAGCTTGAACTGTCTCAGTTGTCTTGTCTTGTCCTCTTTCCTCCCCAAATCCTCAAGGATGGAAAGCAAAGCAAACTCAGGGTGCTCAGAGCGTGGAGAACAGATGCTGTTGTTTAATGTCCAGAGGCAATCCTTTTAATCAAGAGAAGCAGCTTCTCTTGTTTTATAAGACAGTTTTTGAGTGTGAGCATTATTTTATTGATGCCTTTATGCATCTGACAATCATGTCATACTTTTGCGATCCTCTCTGTGCCAATGACTTGTGTTTTTTTCCCCACCTCAAAATGAAGCCTGCTCGTTTCAAATGCTCTTTTGGAGTTTGGCAGGAGCTTGGTTCCTGATGCTGGCAATGAATGCTCCTGACT